TTCTGGCTTTCAGCAAGGCATTAGCATTCCAGAAAGAGTTTCACCAGCCCCTAGGTTTGAACAGTGGTCAGGGCAGGCAGAAGGAAAAGCTACCAAACACTTTCCCTCTTAGGCTTGGGGCTTGAATTGTAACCAGGGGCTTTTGGGAGTGTATTAAAGAGCACTGCTTTCCTTGTCTGCTCCTTCCCTATTCCCTTGTTTTCCGATACCAGTATGACCAAAAAACCGGGTTTTTTATAAGCAGCACAATGAATAAATATTTGGAATATTTCTTATCTCTGAATGCATTAACAAAGGAGAAAAAAACCCACACTTCTGCCTTAAACAGGGCAAGAAGTTATGCAGACCTTCCCACCTCAGAAACTCTCCTAGGGGAAGGAATGCCACATGAAGTTGGAAATTTATCATTTTCTAAAATAAGGGTGAAATACCAGGGCCTTCATTTGGGTGCTTTTCACTCTTTATAGTCCAGTCATCTGTTCTCTCTGCTCACCCGGACCCCTCACACTCCCTCAAGATATTCAGATGGAAAAGCTTTCTTTCCAAGGTATTTGCACAAAGAAGGCATTCGGCAGCAGAGATTTCTTCCAAAAGCATCTGATTGTGCCGTGGTCCTTCCCCAGGACTTAGCTGAACGTGCTGAGAAAGGATTCTTGCCCCACATTACGGTCCTTTGGGGGGACACTGTCATTGCACATTCTGGGCTGTGTGCCTGAGAGTACCTAGGCATATTTGTTTGAGTCACTGCCAGCATATATGCCAAAGAGATTATGCTTCATATTTCATCCCAGGGTGAAGAGAGCCTAAATGGGTTTATCATGGAGTTTTCATTCACTCTGTCATTTCTCTCTTCTTTATAGTTCATTGCTAGACTTCTAATTTTTCCCGACAGCAGAGCACACCCCTGCAGCTGGCCCTGCATAATGATTCCCTCCTCCTAGACTGACAAGAGTGGATGCATAAATCTACTGCCATCAGGGTGCCTCCTTTAGCAGACACTGCCCCCTCTCCCCCCTGGAAAAAGATCTGTCTCCACCCCAGCACTCTCATTTACCACCTACTACTGTTGCCTGCTGAGCCAAGATGCTGCCTGTGACCGTTACCCTGCCTATGCTGAACATCAGGAAATGGCTCTTTTTGGACAAAAATACTTTTTTTTTTCCTCTTAATGATAACTATTAGTGAAAATTGGAGTGCCTTTGGCAATTGTATTTGATGCAAATATTACAACGTACAGCAACAAGCTCCTGTGAAAAGCAAGGGTGGACTGATTGCTTGAATTAGGAGCTGGAGGGTAAGAAGGACTGTCAGGAGCAAGAGATTTGACCAAATATAGGTCTTTAGAAGGTCTTAAGTTAGAGATCCCCATGTTCTCTGAGGCCCTGTATTAACTCAAAATGATTGCTTTGAACTATTGAGTAAGGGCAGTAATGTCAAATCCAGGGCTTCTCAGCTGCTGAACTCATCAAGCACATTGACAGTTTATAAATCAGACAGGACTTGTGGACCCTCTACAAAGTATTGTTTTAAAATCTCTTCCTTAGCCCTCCATCCTTAGCTATAGCAGTGGAATATTGTAGCTGGCTAAAAATCAATGTAAGGCTAGTTTAAAAGGCAGCAATCTCTGTTCCTGTTCTGAGAAGCAGGCACAAGGTGAATGTGCAGTGTATGGCAAGAGCTTCATCATTCTTTACCAGCAGTGAAGGTATAGGTAAAGGTCATCCCCTTTCATCTTCCAAGAGTCTAATCCACAAAATACTAGATTTCTCTGATAGGTATTTGGTGTTAGCAAATGCTGATAGTCTAATATTCATAGTTGCTTTTAAACTTAAATTATTATTGTTCTTCAGCTACAAATAATTGGCAGTTTTCTCTGACATTGTCCTTATAATGATTCATACTGCAGTTGTTTTGAAGAGATGGATAAACTACAATTGTTTATATACAAACAGAATATGACATTGGCTGCCAGAAAACAATCTCACTAATATTTGACTTGTTAGGTTGCCTCATGTTTCATGTTTTGGCTCAGAGAGAGCAAGCTTAAAATTAATTGAGAAGAATTTCTTTCTTTCTGAGTGTGTTCAAAGCTAGTGGTATTTTCTCCTCTGTAAATGTTGGCAATTGATTATAAAATGTCAGAGGTGTTAGCAGTGTCAGCGACCTTCATCTATACAGCTGGAATAATAGGCAAGACTTGCTTTAGGACACCCTGCAGTTGCTGACAGGTTTTGTTGCATCTGCAGCCAACTCTGTATCATTAACGAGGAAAAAAGGGTGGATAAGGGAGTGTGGATTGTAAATGTAAGAGTGCTCACTCCACTAAATTTACATGAAAAATGATCATTTTTGTATCCAATGCCATTTTGTACTCTTCATGATTTTCTAATTAAGCCTGGAGGGCTGTGGATCCAGGCTTTGATATGAGCAGTATCGACTGTCCTCTTTCCAGAGATGAGAACAAAGCTTCCTCACTGTGCTGCTGGATGCTAACTGATGAACTGGTTTTTCTTCCATGCCTTGGTTACTGCATATAATTAGGAATCTTACTCTTGTGACTTCATGTGCAGAACTGCATCCTTTCAGTAGACCTGCCTGCCAGCTGCCCCTCATGCACAGCTATTCCCAGGATCCTTAAATTTGACTTTGCATGTCAACTGTTCCTATTTAAACAATGAGCTTTGAAGCAGACTATGGGCATGCTGAAGAAAAAGCTCTTCATATCTAACAATAGTCTCTTTTAGAATCTGTTTGAGGCTAAGGCTCAACTTTAAAAGTGGTCATGGTGTTAATTTATTTGAAATAATTTTATTAGAATAGAGAAGAATCTGTGATTCTTGAAAAATGAGGGAAGAAAAAATATGGATCCACTTGCTGGGTAGACCCACGTGAGTGGCTTTCTGAAGGGATTACCCCTTTCTTGTCTCAGTGTTCCCTTGCAGCAGAGCAGTGACAGAGTCTGATGGCTAGTGTGTTGTTGGGGTTAAGATAGAAGGCATTTCCTCCTTGGAGAAGGGGAAGGGAGAAGACAGCCATGACAGAAGTGTCAGAGCAACAGGAATAAGCCTCACTTAGATTTGAGGAGACATTTCCAACCCTGTATGGCATTCCTTCACCTTAATGATGGAGAAAGTATTTTTATTTTTTATTTTAATATCTTGTCCTTTTGATATTTTAGGACTGGCATTCCTGTACTTTATTCCCTGAATATCTTATCTATTAAATAATGTCTCTATTCCTCTCTGCTGAGAGCAGGTACACAGAGAAACAGAAAAAGATCTTGCTGCATTGCACATTTTTTAGTATTAATAAAGAAACACACACGCTTAAGAATTTTGGGGGGAAAGAAAGCCTCAGAATGTTTATCTTCCAAGAGACTCTTTGAAAAGTCAGCTTTTTACTGTGGAGTAAACCTGTTGGCCAGCTAAAAGATTTGACGCACAGCCACGATGGAGGCAGCTGGAGGGCTGGGAAGTGGCTGTGTGATGATCCACAGGAGATGGGGCTTGTGTGTGACCCTGGGCCTTGGCACAGGGAGCTGTGACTGGAGGGTGGTGCTGGCAAGGAGAGCTGTGGACTGTGCAAGGGATTCCACTGCTTTCACTGCAGACAGGGCTGACAGTCATGTGACGTGAGAGCTGGTTTAAAAAATACTGTCCTGCCTTTAGAATCACAGCTAGAAAATGTATTCCTGTAAAGTTGGAGTTTCTTCTACAGGAAATATCCACCACAGCCTTTTACCCCCAGTTCCTTCTTTAGTGTTACCTAGTAGAGGACTTGGGATTCATTCCTAGTTTTCTTACCAGGCTAGTTTTACCTAAATGCATTAAATCCTATCTGTATGTGTGACAAGGTACTTCTGATAATTTGGAATTGAAATAACTTAGAGTTTTCATATATAAAATGAGTATAGATTTTGGCTGTTGAAAGGTTCCTTGCTGGAGAAGATGCATCCAGTAAAAGTGGTGGCAAACATGAAAAAAAAAGATTGGCTGTGTTTCTGAAAAGCACAGACTAGTCTTCGTTCCCTTTGGAAAAAAATAATAGGATAACTGGGTTTGGAAAGGAGCCCCAGAGGTTGTGCAGTCCTATGGCTCAAGTCAGGGCCAGTAAGATCAGCTAGCTCAGAAGATATGAAGTATTTAGCAGTCAACTCTACATAGCTCCAAACGTAAGAATATGGTCATAAGTTTCTTGGGAATTTTGAAAAGAAAAAAATTTATTGTAATAAGTCTCCCTTGTCTTCATCTTTCAGAAGTTTAAAAAAATAGGGAGACTCAAGCTTTCTGAGTTCTTCACTATGCATTTCCTTTTATTTTTAGATGGAAATAAAAATTTAATCAGGCTAAACCTTACTTTCTACATTCAATAATTCCCCAGAAAATTTAAATAAGTATAGATGTAGGCTTTTCAAGAAAATGCCCCTAGAAGCTAATTTCTGAAGCAAAGGGAAACTGGAAGGTGACATTGCTTTTGAAATTGAGCCTTAATAAAGGGCTTCATTTAGTCATCCATCCTTGAAAATGGATGGTGAAATATGTAAGGGTTGAGAAGGAAAGGGAAAAAACAGAGTTGCAAGAGAATGATACCAGATGAAAGTACAAGGTATTTTAAGTCCTTGGTTAATGTCCCTGTCAGAAATTAGTCCTGGTTGGTTTGGTCACCCAAAAACTGGCAAAATTCTTACCATAAAGTGTTCTTGTTGTAGTCTGGGCTTTAGCAGGTTTGTTGTGGGGCTACTGTTATCTAGAAAAGTGGTCCCTCTGAGGGAGAGTTAGGATGCTCTGTAGAGAGCTTTGCATGTGAGAGGGCACCTGCGATCCAGAGGAGCAGAGAACCATGCTTATCACCAATGGCAGCTGTGCTGAGTTTCCCCTTCTCTGGGGCTGTGTTGAGTGTGCAGCAGTGGGGCAGTGTTGGCATCCCTCGCTGTGCCTGGGCTGTGGAATGCCGTGCTGCTCCTGTGCCGAGGGAGCTGAGAGCCTCTCTTCTTGTTCCAGGTGCGAAGAGTGAGGGGCTCAGTTCTGGGGCTCAGCTGCTACCCCCAGGAGCACAGCTGAACAAGAGCAAGCACTGACACCGCCTTGTCTCCTCTTGAAGTGCCAGAAGAAGTGGGTTCTTGTTTCCCAAATTGTGGAGTGTGCACAGATTTTTCATGTGAATTTTCTGTTTTCAGGTAAGCTAATTTTTTTCTTCTTTTTTTTTTTAATACAATGGAGTTTTCTAAATGCAAAATCATATTCTAGTTTCCTAGACAAATTTGTTGCTATTTATCAAGACTTCCGGCCATTGCTGGAGCATTTAATAAGTGTTTATTACTACTAATGGAGATAAAACTTCCAGGACTCAGTCTTGCAAGAGGCATTAAAAATTCGCAAAGGGGAAAAAAAAGCAAGAATAGCTTGGCAGAGGTTCTGTATTCATAAACCTATTTATAGATGGTGTGCTGGGTAGAGGAGCAGGTTTGTGCCTCTGCCAGCAACACGCTGCAGCCTACTGCTGTGCTTGCCCTAATTTTGCACTCACATTCTGAGTCTCCCAGGGGATGCTGAGCAGCTGTGTGGCTGACCTGAATCTCGAAGGTGTGTGGGTTTGACTGTGACTCTGAGGATGATTGGAGAGATTTGATCAGCTTCTTTTGCAGGACCTGTTCACATTGATTAGCGTGTGTTGGCTTGGCTTCTCAGAAACCAGCATGTAAAACCTTCTTCTTTATTCTCGAGTGGCCAAAGAGATCTGAAGCAAGATTGATAAATGGGCTGCACAAACATGGTTCTCAGTCTGTTCTTTAGCTGCAAAGTGGTTTAAATCCATTTTGGCAGCTTTCTTGGTGCTTGTGATTCTCCTGGAGGTGCTGCCACTGAGAGTTCTAGTTCCAGTCTGGCACAAGCCTGGAGGGGAAGGAGAGACTGGGATCCTGTGAGCCACCTTCCTCTCAGTTACCAGTAATGACTTCCATAGACTGAACTTTTTGGAATATAACACTCAGCCTTTCCAGCAAGAGAAACACGTGTCTCCTGCCCAGCATCAAAGAGAAAGGAAACAGTGGGAGGGGAAAACAAAATTTAGGAAGAGCCAAGTTAAGGAAACAAGTGTGTTCTAGTGTTTAATATCTGACCTCATGCTAGTTTGGGAAGGGTTTTGTTTAGGTTTTTTAGTAGTTTTTTGTTTTGGTTTGGTTTTTTTGAGTGGTGTTGTTTGTTTGTTTTGGATGCTTCTGTGTGTTAAGTTTCATTTTCCCTCAAAAACAAATGGGGAAAGGAAGAATCAAAATACAGTTTTCCATGCATATGTGCTGCAGAATGAATAAAAGTGAAAACAGCTGTTCTAAACCAAAAATGTGCATTCTGCCACCACACACTCATTTATGTACCTAAAATCATGATTTTTCAAAAAGTAGGGGAAAGCATGAAATAACACGGAAATAGCCACTATTTAAGCTTATTTAGAAATGCACATCAGGCAGGATGAGTATCACCGAGGAACAAAGGTGGGTCCTGTGGGGGATGCGAATGTAAGAAGTGGACTCACTGAAAGCAAGTAATTGCAGAGTAATTTTTGCTGTGGAATTTTAAACCAATTATGTGAACAACAGAGCATATGTTCTGAAAGTAGTCAGAAGTGGTTTTTTGTGGGTATAGCTAGCATGGTTGCAGAAAGCCTCTGCCTGGCCAGGGTTAGTGCTCCCACAGATGAGACAACATGAGTGCTTGCGTGTTTGGCTGTACATCACTGCCTTGCTGAAAGTCAGCTTTTCTCAATCTGCCTCTCCTGTGGTATATCTTCCAAAAAATGTAAAAACGTGTGTCTGATAATATCTAGTACCTCAGCTCGTTTCTATGTCTGACTGGAAAGTCTGGTGTTCAAAAGGTGCTTGATCTTATATTTTGCAATTATTAAATGTTTTGATAAGCTGCATCAAACTACATCAAATTTTACTGACATTACTGCAAGTTTCACATAACAGGACTGATTAAAGGTGCTATTTCAAGAAGCCTTCACTAATCTAGTTGTTTCTTTGAAAAGGAGATTTGCATCCTTTTGCTTTTTAATAAAATGAGACAAGTACTAAAAATCCACTATCAGCACTTTGGCTTGAACACCAAGGCATGTGGCTTATTGCTCTCCAGAACTTGGAGGATATTAAATGTGGATATTAATTTTCTTCTTTCTTCCATCACAAAGAAAATAGAAATGCTCACATGAAAAAGGGAAAACAGTTTATGGGATTCTTCAGCATTGCCTTTCTTAGTATGCAATTGGGAATTTTGATGCCTAGTGGATATGAGGTGTTTCCTAATGATAAATGTATGTAAATAAGTATAAATCATGTTGGTTGGGTGTTTTTGGGGTTTGGGGTTTTTTTTTCCTTTTACAACCGTTAAAGCACCTACATGGTAGAGCACTTGACAAGTGAAACAAAAACTGGGAGATCTCTGCTGAACTTTCTTTTGTTTCTAGGAGGTCTCAACAAACCTCCTTAATCTTTGAAGTTTTCTCTTTAAATAGGTGGCCAGTGTAAGCATTTCTGCAAATTCATTTCATGTGAAGATTTTGTCTCTGAAGTTGTTCAAGTAAGCATAGCTGCAAATCTGATTCACTTGTGTGGCATTGAACTTCACATGTAAATCATGCTTCTAGTAAGTCAGTATTGTGCTAGGAGGTGCTAATGGCTGCCATCAATCAGGGCTGGAAAAAGTTGTTCTCCTCTTCTCCCCCAGACGAAATGAGACAGCAATTAAATGCCCTTTTGTTGCGTGATAGCTGAGACAATGGAAATCAATGTCCAAAGCACAAAGCAGAATGGCAAGTCTTAAGTATAAGCTAAGCCATGTGTCCCAAGGGATTGGCATGTTGATTTGCTTACAGCTGAGAGAGTGTATGAAAGGAATAACTGGGGAGTGTAGGCAGCAGGAGAAGCAGTAATGCTCCTTGGACCGAAGCCAGACAGGAATATTTGCTGGGAGACTTCTCAGTGGGGCTGTGCTGCCACGATTTTGCCTCCATGCAACCTAAGCTCAGCTCACAGTACAAATTTGATCTGTAATTGGCCCTCGTATAAGATCATCATCAGAAAATGTGATACCATGTTCATTTGTGCTATGTTTTCACACTGGCCACTCAAGAAGTGGCAGTATCTGATCTGGTGAGAAGCCTACTAAAGTAAACTTCACCTTTCAGCTTTTTTCAAAGTGCTTCAGCTGGGTAGATGAGCTTACACTCGACCAGTGCTGTTATTGCAGTGCTTTAGATCGCTGGAATAGGATTTGCTGCATCCTGAGAGTATTCCCACCCCTCTAAATACCATCACGTTGTTCCCAAGTGCTTGATAGGTGCAAAACTTACTCTTGCATCTCTCCTAAATAAAATTGCATCGTAAGGAATCCCAGTTTGCTCATCCATTTCTTGTACATGCAAACAATGCCTCAAGATTCTTAAACCACAACATACTCGTTAACTAATTTTGTCCAGAGGACATGAAATCACTTAGGTGGCTGAATGTGTTTTGCCTGTCTTCTTCCCTGCAGACCTGCTCCAAAGCTCATTATGTCAATGGGACACTTCCTTTTGACTCCAGCTCACAATTCTGCCTTGGCTTTATCGCCTTGCTGAAAGGGCCTTGAGTTACACAGGACTGCTTTGTCTCTAATCTGTGTGGGGTTTTTGTTTTTGTTGGGGGTGGGGTTTTTTCTGCTTTTGTGCAAAATTGTAAATGAATTGAGAACAACAAGCCATTGCATTTACTAATGGCAGAGCACACTGCTGTCATGCAGCTCATATGCTGTTGGCAGAGACTGCAGCTATATGATGCTTTGCAGCAGCTGGGCTCAACTGAGAGAAAGCTTTTGCAAGTTTAAGGCTTGGAAAAAATGTTTCAGTAATTTTTTATTTTTTTTTTGTGCCTGAAAAATATTACACACAGATGAGCAGAGTCACCTGAAATAATACTAGAATTTGATCAAAATAAAATTTATCTGCTTGGAGAGCTCTGTATTGATTTTTTTCTGTGGGATGCTGTATCTGTTGCAGCTCTTTTGAGGGCTTGAACAAAAGAAAACAAAACTACCTGTGTTAAGAGGTCCACAGAAATCAACAGGCATTAGCAATGGACTCATACAAAACCTATTAGTTAGTGCTCCTTGTCCTTATTGCTCAGTGGTAAGATGCTGTCTTTTCCTTGTGTCCCCATCAGGGAAACACTTCTCAAACTCATGTTCTACTGCACTCACATTTACTCCTCGGCAGTATTGGCAGTTGCTGTGAGTGACACACTTCACAATCCCACTGTCCTTGTGTCAATTCAGGTGTCCACCTTTGATCTTGACTCTGGTTCTAGCCATGACTCGCACCTCGTTTCTGCATTAGGTTCTCTATTAAAGTAAAATAGAGACCCAAGGTACCAGGAGAGACTCTGTTTGAGGACAGCAATCCACTGCCACATTATATACAGTTTTATATTTAATTACTATGTCTGTAATTTTGAACAATCACAATTAGGCTTTTTTAAAGCATCTCCTTCTATATTGCAATCCTTCAGCAGTTCAATAAAGAAGAGCCATTGACTTGTATTTGATGTGTCCATTACCTCCTGCAAATGCTTTGGAATACAATGGAGTAGCATGCAGACTTCAGAGCTGTCATGACAGGTATTAAGAATGTGTCAAATCCCAGTGATGACTGATAACATATCTGTCATTTGTGATGGGATTATTAGGAAGAGGAAAGCCACTAGGAGAAAGATACTCTAGAAAAGAAAGGGGTGTGGGGGAGGGGAAAACAAAAAGAGAGAGGATTTACTGTTCTTCAGAGCTGCCTGGTTTAATTAAACCTTGTCTAGTCCATAAACAAATCTATTAACTTTCTGTATGGTTTGGCATTTTATGCACTTCAATGCTGCTGCAGTAATTCCATGGAATTTATGTTTCTCTTTGGTGGATAGTTGCACTATGTAGGTATTGTGGCTATGAAGAAGATTCTTGACCCACCTGTACATGGAAACAGCTATTGCAAGAATATGTTTTTTGTCTTCTAATCAAAAGTTTAACAGAGTAGCATGGAAGAAAGAATTCAGTGGGTACATAAAATATTTTCTGCATGGAAAATTATGTAGAACCAAGAAAAGAGAACAGTCTGCCAGTGCCATTTGATTCGTGTCTTTGGTTATCAAAAGAAGGA